TTTGTCCGGAGCGGACGGAAACTATCCGCTCCGTTTTCATCCCTAACTCCTACAATTAGCTAGTACATGCATTTTCTAAAATTCAGTATTTTTTTTCTAAAAAATCTTGGTGACGAACCACTAGCACGGGATAGGTCATCTCAATCGGGCGGAAACCCTCATTTGTATCAGGAAGGGCTCCCATCACGAACCAAAGGTCATAGATGTGAGAAGTCATTTGTATCAAGCATTTAGCCATCACGGATAACAGTTATCTCAATTGGGCCAAAAATAAAACCCGTCATCGATAGGTTTTACCCAACAAATGAGTTGCCCAGTGACCTTTCCGAGAAGGTTGTGGAGAAGGCCTGGAATTGGTTGTGAGTGGCTCGGTGTTTGCCATCTCCAGAGTGGAGGAAGAACAACCATAGTGATAGAGACTTGGGAGACCATTTCGAGACCGGCTCCCACCTTGCTCATCTGTTGACGAGAGGTTTGGATGTTTGGTGATTTGAGTGGTGAAGTTGGCTTTGGCAAACTTCCAAACATCAGGTGGAAAAATACTTTGTCTCTTGTCTTCTTTATTTTGTGCAATTTATATTTGTGCCAATTTACTTTGAGCAAGTTTACATACTAGAGTTTATTTGTGCTAAAATCATCCTAGGCTTGCAAACCTCAACATAGGCTTCTTTGTGCACTTAGTTTAGACTAGTTGTTTAGGTTTTGAATTGTGCAAAACCGTTTTGATTTATGCTTCCGCATACAAAACTCGGTTTCAGACAAAAAATTTTAAAACCGCTATTCATCCCCCCTCTAGTTAACTTCCTTGATCCTACAACAAGATGAAATGGTTACTTAATAGAGCGGGATTCTATTGGCCAAAGATGGTTGATGATTGTTTTAAGTACAATAGAGGATGTGAAGCTTGTCAACAATTCGGCAATGTCCAATTAGCACCCGCTGTAGTGTTGAATCCTATCATCAAGCCATGGCTGTTCCGAGATTGGTCTTTGGATTTCATAGGTCAAATTCATCATTCATCACCAAATGGGCATCGGTTCGTGCTAGTTCCAACAGATTACTTCACCAAGTGGGCCAAAGCCGTGCAACTCAAGAATATGACTCACACGGAGGTAATTGACTTTATTTTGAAGAATAATAAGCATATTATTCATAGGTTTGGCATTCCTCAAACTTTAACTACGGATCAAAGAGATTCTTTTATGTCTAAGGAACTGAAAAGCTTTGCAGAATCTTATGATATTAAATTGTTAAGTTCTTCTCCTTACTATGCTCAGGCTAATGGACAAGTTGAGTCAAGTAATAAGATTTTGTTGAAATTAGTCAAGAAAAATAATGAGGGACATCCAAAGAGATGGCATGAGGTACTCTTTGAAGCGTTATGAGCTCATAGAATATCTAAGCATGGTGGTACTAAAGTTACTCCTTTTGAGTTAATCTATTTGCAAGAAGCCGTTTTACTAGTAGAGGTAAATCTTGGCTCTGTTAGATATATCAAGCAAGATGATTTATCGGCCGAAGAATATAGGACGTTGATGGGAGACAATCTTGATGATGTGACCGATAAACGTCTAAAGGCTTTAGAGGAGATAGAAAAGGAAAAAAAGAGAGTAGCCAAAGCCTATATAAAAAGAGTGAGAGAAAAATCATTTCAAGTAGGAAACTTGGTTTGGAAGACGATTTTTCCTTTGGGTTCTAGATGTAAGGACTTCGGTAAGTGGTTGCCTAGATGGGAAGGTCCTTATCGGATATGTGGAATCGTTCGAGGGAATGCGTATTTTCTTGAAACTTTGCAAGGAGAATGATTTTAAAGAGCAATCAATGGGAAATATTTGAAGAAATACTTCCCAAGCGTCTGGCAAGATGCTTAGGAGGTGATATGGCAGGTAATTAGGTTATCGCCCTAAAACCACGTGTTCTACGCTTTTTGGCTCTCAAATATAGACAAAAAGGCAGGGGGCATATGTTAACCCCCAAATTTGGCACCTAGATTCGAAATAGGAAAACATTACCAAATTTTGGAAGGCGCCCGGTTTCCTTCACGGGGCCGGTCTGACCACCGCTTATAGGCCGGTCTGACCGGTGTGTGGAGCTAGTCTGACTGGCGGCGTGTGGCCGATCAGATTGGCAGAGTCCAAGTCCGGGTCAAATTTCACCGAGTCTTGAGTTTCCTTGCATGGGGAGGTATTTTTCGAGTTCTAATTGATTTCTACCCTGAAATTGAGGTGGAGGAAGACCTATAGGAGGCAAGACGAACCCCTTTATAAGGGCCAAGGCCAGTTCAATTGGAAAAACAACCAACATAATCTATTTTCAACGTAATTAGCCAATTGAATCTTTTTTCAATATCGCGTCTACTTTTTTTTCCTAGTTCAAGCCTGGTTCGTCCATCTTTGTTGATTTGCACCATAAATCGTTCGCCATCGTTGCAAGAGTTCGAAATTCCTTTGTAAGTTTGTCCCGTAAACCTTCCAATTCACCCATGAGATGGGTGTTTACCCTCATATTGATCTAAACTGGCCTTGAGGCTAATTTTGGTCTTTAAATCCGCTCTGCTAGCCGGTAACCCATCTTTATTTGGCTTTTCTAGATCGCGGTGGTTGGAAATCCCATATTACCGCAAGACATTTAGGTGTGTCGATTGTCTTTTGTGACTCGTCCAAAAAAAAGTTGTCAACAATAGGTCCCATTCTTTGCAAGTATAAGATGGATTAGAGATGGCCTCAAAACTCTGGAACAAAGTAAAGGTGGTTATAATTATTTTGTCTATTGTGGTCTCTGATTGTGAGGTATTATTTAGAAAAAACAATACTTTGTTAAATAATATTCCACAACCTTGCGCTTTTATCTATAGTGGTAAAAGTGTGAGGTGTTACAGGCACGTAGTTTGTTGTACGTAGCTAAATTACGATGAAATTATTAATTTTGGGTCTTAAACTAATATCTTCCTATCACAATCCTCTTCTCCTCTCTCTACTAGAACTTGTGATACCACCGCCTCCCGCGGCCGTCGAACAACACTCTCTCCTTGTACACTAACATCTGAACTGTCCTCTGATCATACTTTCTTTCGGTAACTTCCTCTATCTTCTCTTCCTACTAGAAAAAATGTTCGTGCATTGCAATGGGTAAAGGTGTTTTTTTCTTCCAGTGATACATCAACTATCTTTAGTAGCGTCTTTAACCTCCGGACGACAGCCTTGTGCCCGTACAATGCCAAAGTCGATCCTCCCCATCAAATTCGGACGAATCTTTCTCGATCTCCCAAAACCAGTTAAGGGTTTTTGATCCACTCGATCTCCTCTTTTTGTTTCACCCATAATCGATGCGAATCCGCAATCAATTGGAGGAAACTCACGGGGAGGCAGATTGATGTGTCAGCGGTGTAGGGTTTGGCCCGGGCGGCAGCTGGAGGTGTGCACAGCATGCGTGCAATGGATTGGACTTCTAAGAAAACGGAATCCTTGTAAAAAAATACGGAATAAGATCCAAGAGGGAGAGAGATGGAGGCTTGGGGGAGGGGGGAGAAACGGAGCGGGGCCAACTGAGAGACGATGAAAGACGACAAAGGTTACGAAAGCCTCATGTATTTTTTAATTAAGTATAGATTACAACGCCAGTAGTTGTAAAAATATGATGATGCTGTTATAATTAAACGCTATCTTAGTTAGACAATGAAAATTGTGTAAAATATCGTATGTCAAGTTAGCTCTACCCCAATTGGTTGCAAACATTTACCCCGTACTAGAGTTTAATCTAGTCTGTCGATCCAAGATCGTATGACTGCCTATTATTTGTAGACTATTAACATGTCCATATGTTGTAAGAATATTAGTGATAAAACATTGATCCGGTGGTTACCTACGTAGTACACTAAGCATGCGTGGGCGGTGCAAAATGGGAGGAGGTGACCAAAGAATAACAACTCCACTTTTAAGGTAGTAGAGATATCCTTTGTGGTTTTAACCATTTGTATATGTGTGCAAATAGAAATCAATAATGGATGGGTAAGTACTAGTGGTGTGGTGGTGGAATCATGGGCGGTGAAATCGTGGATGCATGATACCTTGAGGGTTTAAATCTTATGTTCATGAATATTATGCACATGTTGATGATCTTTCTACGGGATTCAATATTACTCGCATATGCAGTTGGACTTTCAATATGATTTAGTTAGACCAGGGATGTGCCGTTTAGATTTTCATTTCTTTGAGCATGTGTTAGAGGATGCATTTGTGGAGGTGCGAATCAGCGAGTGTGGTGTGTTTGGGTGCACGTATAAAAAAATCAATTAAGGATACATGGGTCCTAGCGTAGTATGGATAGAAGTGGTAACGAGCCCAATTTTTTGACCTACAAAATATAAGGACCGGATAAAAAGGGTTAGACTGAAATTTAGTAGATTTTTAAGATTAAAGAATATTTAAAGATTGAGATGGGATACGAAATGCGTATAAACCTTGGCCCATTACCACTCCAAGGTATGGTCATGACTGACCAAAGATGAAGAAAATTTTCATGTATTACAAACGCATGTAAAAGATTATATTAAAATGATTAGGATGAAAAACTAGAAAACTGACTATAATCAAGAATTTTAAGTTTTAAATTCAAATTTTGATAGCAGCTACCGAGTACTGACGATAATAGGTGTGTGTCCATAATAAATACTTCATCCGTTTTATATTATAAGACTTTTAACATTGACTATATTCATACATATTCATATAGATGTTAATGGATTTAGACATATCTATGTGAATGCGAACAATGCTAAAAAGTTTTATAATATAAAACGGAGGAAGCACATGATGCACAGATGGACTGTCCATCATGGACACCATCCAACGCAGGTGTCAAAGTTGGTCTAACGGGTTAGCAAATTTGTAGTACAAAGAAGGCAGTGTGCCCCGTGCCTCTATTCTCCAATCCTTATAATTCCCCACCCAAACCCTCGCTTCCGCCGACCACCATGGCGCCGCTGCCACCGCCCGGAGTTCATGGACGACATCACCGCTTCGCTCGCGCCGGAGCTCCTCTCCGAGATCCTCCTCCGCCTCCCTCCGGACGAGCCAGGGCACCTCTTCCGCGCCGCCCTCGTCTGCAAGGAGTGGCTCCGCGCCATCTGCGACCCCGGCTTCCTCCGCCGCTACCGCGCCTTCCACGGATCCCCTCCCCTGCTCGGCCTCCTTCACAGGCGCCAAGTCCTACAGGGTGATCCCGTCCGCCACCTCGCCCGCACCACCGCAGTGCCCCTCTTCCCCGATCCCACCTTTCGCCGGGCCCTCGATTGCCACCATGGCCGCGCCCTCCTCCACGCGTCGGACGACGGTTGGTATCTCATTGTCTGGGACCCCGTCACAGGCGAACAGCACCGCGTGCCAGAGCCTGGCATCCCGTGGCTGATGTACACTGCCGCAGTGTTCTGTGCCGTGAGTGGCTGTCCCTTCAGAGTGGTCTTTGTGGCCACGGACGATGAGGACGAACTCGTTAAGGCGAGCGTGTACTCGTCGGAGACGGGTGCATGGAGCAAGCCAGCAATTCTTGATTATGGTTATCAAACCTGGCAAGAGCGTTTGCAAGCCATCACTAGAGGTGAATCATACCGTACACCTTATGTCCAGCCCAGGCGAGGAGCCCTTGTCGGAGATGAAATCTACTTCACACTTCGGAACGAGAATGCAATCATCAAGTACAACTGGGGCATGAACTGCTTTTCTAAGATTGACCCGCCGATACGAGAAGTGTATGACATTGCCCTCATGGAGATGGAGAACGGCTCACTGGGTTATGCCTGCATTCAGGGTTCCAGCCTTTATGTGTGGAGTGTTTTGCTTTTTGAGAGAGAGAGAGAGAGAGAGAGTGTGTGTGTGCTCGGCATTTTTCCGGATGTATGAAATGGATGATTTGAGGTTGAGGTTGATGATGTCCACGAGGAGTTGTTTATTGTTGTTTTTTGTGTAGTTCGTATGGTAGATCTGGTAGTTTTCCATGTAGTTGGTTTGGTAGGTTTGTTGATTTGAGTTCTAGTTCGTTTGGTAGTCTGATTGCGTGGTCGGCGTGGGGGCAAAATTTGTTGATTCGACAGTTTGGTGTGTGCTGCGCTGCTTGCTCCCAGTTTTTTTTTGTGGTTTTTTCTATTTCAATCATGCTAGGATTCGAGTTTGATGTTTTTGAAAGGGGGTTTGTTTTTTTTGTGATTTATGGTTGTTTTTGTTTTAAATCGTTGTAGTTTTTGGAATCCCATAGGAGTTTGGATTTGATTTCGCCGTGATTTGTGTTTGTGTTCAAACTTGCAAGTTTTTTTTAGTTATCTTTGTAGTGGTAGTTTCTGGATCTGAGTAGGTTTAGTTGTTTTGTTCGATTTGAATCAGGCTAGGTTCGATTTGAATCTGGCTAGGGTTCAAACTGGAGGTTTAGTTATGGTTGTTTCAGTTTCTCTGGTTTTTTTGTGTCCTTTTATGCTCGGGATGCAGTGTGATTGATCTGTTGATTTTTATTTCAAAATCATAAGATGGCTTATGTTATTGTTGTATTAGTGATTAGTATACTCCAGATCTGTAAAATTACATTTGATGATGCCAACATTTCTGAAATATTTATAACTAAAGCTCTACATGATTTGCTTGAACTAGTTTAAGAATCACTAAGACAGTACTCGTGATGATTGGTTTTGTAGTGTAATTTGTTGCATGTTTTTTTTTGGTTATTGGTTTTGGATCTGAGTAGGTTTTAGCTATTGGTGTATCTAAATGCATGATTTATTTTTAGCTCTGGTTATTTTTAAGATGATTCAGTATTTAAATTCATGATTTATGCAATTTTTATAGTTGTTTCAAAATTTTTAATCTGTGCTTGATATATAGCCTCATAGCTTGACTGATTGATTTGTGCTTTATCTGTGCCCTGTCTTGTTTTATATAATTTCTGTTTATGCTTTACTGTTGATGGAGACTTTATGAAATTTTGATGAGTTAACATATTTAAGTTACCAAAATTTACAGTGCATTTATACTAAAATTACAATGTACTTACATGCCAAATCTACTGTTTTTACAAATGTAATTTTAGGTTGAAAGCAATGTAATTTTTACTATCAGTGTATGAATGTAGGTACATTTCAATTTATGAACATTTTAATTATATGTTTCTGACTTAGTTTTCTAGTTTGAAGTACTCATGTATATGTATACTTGAGGTATATATGGCAGACATTTCAATTTGAAGTACTCATGTATATGTATACTTGAATCTGATCTGTTTATTCCTATTTAAATATGAACTTAGTTAGTTTTATGTATGATCTGTTTAGGAGCTTTTATGTTTGACATCTAGTTTTTAACTAGATCTGTTGACTAGGTTTTTTAGTAGTAATGTTTTATTTTTGATTTGATATTCATTCTTTTGATGCATGTTATAGTACTAGTTTATCTCTGTTAAAATGTTATACTAATAGTTTATAAAAGTATTCTCTATATATACTTTGTTTATTAGCTGATGAAACTCCACTTTTTTTTTACTCATGTTGTTTTGTTGCATTGTCTATTTTGTTATTTAGATGGATCGAATTGAAGTTGATGCTTTAGAAGACTGTAATGTTGATAGTGAATCCAGTAGTGATTCTGAATTGGATGATTTAATCTTAAGAATGCACAGGAAAGAGGTATGTTATAAATTTATTTTTGTATTATTTGTTCCTTTCATTCTTATGATAAGTTTCTTGTTTTCTAGGTTGTTCATGAGATTAAAAGGCATTTGAAAAAATCTTATGATTTCCATACATCCAAGGTATTTTTGTCTGATATTGCAATTATGTGTTTTATTTTCTGATATTTTGTCTCATTTTTTTATATGCTTGCATTTAAATCTTTTATATATGCATTATGTGTATCCTTCTTGATTTAGTACATTTGTCATGTTTTTCAAGTGTAAATTATAGTTGTATTTAAGTGTTGTATGGCATGTTCTGCAGTTTATAAATATTTAGTATTGAACTTGGTAATTTTTTGGTTTTGTTTGTTGAATTTATGTATCTACTTTATCTTAATCATTTTAATCCAATTTTGACCTTTCATGTAATTTGACAATGTGCTTGATGATGAATTATTATTATTATTTTTTGTTTTCAGCCAATGCAAGTTTCATGTCTTTCATTGTTCATCACTTTTTTGTATAATTGATAATTAAATGTTTTGTTATGTGTGAAATATTAGTGTACCCTGATCATTAAGCCTAAGTTTCCTACTTGTATTTATAATTTTTACATTGCATTGATGTTTGAGTTATGTATGATTTATTAATTTAATTTTCATTTTATGAATTATAAGAGAGCAAGGATTTATAAGAAGAATGAAGTATCTTTCTCGAGGTTTTCTTGCAAATATTTCTCTGATGTTATAGCTGCACTGTCTGAGCATCAAAAGAATGTCATTCGAAGCTATGATTTTGGATCTCTACTGTTGTTTGATAGCAGTTATGTTCTAATAAAATTTGCCACTTGGATTGCAAAGCATGTTGATTACAAGTCTTCTGAAATTATTTTGAGCAACAAAGTGATTTCTGTTTCAAAAGATTCTGTCAGTACTATTTTTGGTTTGCCTCAAGGTGGTTTGCAATTCAGTAGGGATTTTGAAAGTGGAAAGAAGTTCATTCTATCAAAGTATGGTCTCAGTGATCTACCTTCAGTTCGGTTCTTTGGTGATTAGTTTATTAAAAAGGAATAGATTTCTGATGATAAAGTGATCACATCATTTCTGATTGTTGCGCTAGCTTGCTTTCTTTGCCCAAATTCATCTTTGACACCTAGCACCAAGTATCTGACAGTTTTTGAGGATATTGAAAATCTGAGAAATTATGATTGGTCAAAGTTCATTTATGATTGGACTATGACTTTTCTGAAAAAGTTCTTCAAGTCTAACAACCTTGGAGGGTGCTTATTCTATTGGGCTGTAAGTATTTTTTTCCTTTATTTCTTATTATGATATTGTTATTTTTCTATTTAGTAATATATGACTTAAATGTAAATTTGTTAGGCGCTTTATCTTGACCATGTTGATTTTGGCAAGAAGAATCCTGGAAATAGCACTCCTCGCATTGCTGTTTGGACTAAGAACATGATACAAACTTACTCTGATCTTGACAAAGTTGATGATGATAATTTTGGTCTTAGGCCTCTTAGAGATTTTAAATCTGTGTGTTATTATCAGGTATATTTTTGGTCCCCTTTTTTGATTTATTACTAGGTAACTTTGGTATTAGTCTTCTTATAGATTTCATTTTTTTTAGCCTCATCCTACTGCTGAGAGAAGAATTTCATTTAAAGAGAAACTTGATTCTGCTCTAGGTTCTGTGTTGCCTCTTAGTATGAAAGAGAAATTATGTTCTCTGATGGAACATCATTGTTCTGAAGTTCATGCTGCTGGGAGTCATACTTGTGAAGATGTTCTTATTGATGCTCTAGTTCTGGTTGCTGAAGATAGTGTTACACCCTCAGATAAAGTTCAAAATGATGTTGATGATACTAATACTGAAGGTTGTAATGCTGTTCCTTCTAGATTTGATGATAATGCTGGTATTTCTACCCCAATGAATACAAGTTAGTATTTTCTGATTAGAAATTTAGTTTCTGTTTTTATTTTCTATATGCATGTTTTTTAAATTTATTTTTTTATATGTAGATGTTGATGCTTCAATACCAGATGATGTTGTTGTCTGTACACCCATTGAAAATGATCCATGTGTCAACTCTTTTGTTGTAAGTATTTTTTTGTTCTATATCATTTATATTTATTTTTCCCATTTTTAAGTTTTAAGTTTGATTTGTTTTCATTTGTTCTTTGTTAGGCTAATGGTGATGATGTTATTGCATCTGGTCATGCTGCTGCACTTATCTCATCAAGTAACAGAGATTTTGGTATTTGTTAATACATTTTTCAATTCAGAAGATGTTATTTTAGTTATGTTTTCTTTTCTCTTCACTTAGTGCTTTTTTTTAGATTATGAGTTGTTGACTCCTAAGAGTGCTTTTGTGAAGAAGTTCAAATATTGTGCTGATCATAATTTGGCTGGTATGTTTTTTTCATTGATATTTTATTTCATTTCTTTTATAAGTTTGCTAAATAGTGTAAATTTTTATAATTTTTTGGTTATACTATGTTTCTGTAGGTTCTGCTAGTGCAACCATTGCTGCTTCTATTCATAATGTTGCAAAGAAGTTTAAGACAAGATTTCCAGAATTACTAAATCAAAATGCCAGAGACAATATTATTGATTTTTCAAGGCCTTCATTCAAATTGCTTGATTCTGAAGATGATGTTAGTAGTTCTAATGATGATGCCAATAATCAGTTAAATGAAGAGGATAATCAAGCTCATGGAGATATTACTCCTCCTTCATCATTGGTACTAGTTTTGTTTTTTAATACTGTATTTTATAGTTCTTTTAGAAGATGTTTCTATATATTTATATTCATTTTTCTGTTGTAGCTGTGCAAATCTTTTCGATCTGTCCCTGATTCTATTGATGTCATTGATCACAACAATATAAGAAGTAATGAGAACTCAGCTGGGATTAATCAAATTTCTTCAATTTTTTCCAACAGGGTATTTCAAGATGTGACTGTAAGTATAGAAATGTGTTTTTTTAATTTATTTTGCCATTTTATTTTTCAAATTAAATTTAGTTGTGTTTTTATTTTGTTGTTTTCTGTAGAACTCTCCAGATGTTGTTTTCTTGGGTGAAAATAAATTTCCACAAACTGTTAAAGAATCTTGTGTTAAAACCGAAGAGATATACAATGCAACCAATAATCTATCACGGTATACACATGGGATGAGCTCTTCAGGCGGAAAATTACCTGCTCATGGTCCTAGAAGAATAATTGTTCCTAGCAGGCATGCTTCTGATCCATTTGTTCCTGCAATGAAACGTCGTTTTCTAGTGTCCGATCAAGAGAACAGATATTACATTGCTCTCTGTCGCTTAGCAGATAGTTCCAAGTGGCAGAGGTAATATTATCTTGATGTTTTGAGGTAATATTTCCTTTTTGTTGTTATTTTGGTATAGATTTTTAGCATTTCATCAATTTTGTTATTAGACAATACAAGTTTTAAATTTTCAGGATGTTCCATTTTTTGTTAATCTGTTTGCACTTTCTATTCTGTTATTTATCAATCAGTTTGCTTCTATGTCTCTGTCATGATATGTTCTGATTTGTCCTTTGCTAAGCATAATTCATTATTAGAGTATTTGCGATGTTTTTTGTCTGATTCTAGATTTCATCCACTGAACTCAGTTAATAGCATTTTTACAGCTGAACCCTTTGTTTACAAGTTAAGTAGCAGAAGCATCAGAAACATTGCCACAGCCATTTTTTTAGATTAATTTGCCATCTGTATTTTTTTTTTGATTTTTTTCTTAAAAATGTGTTGTTCATTTATATCTATTATTAATTTACTATTTATTCATTTTTTTATTATGTAGTTATGATGCTGTTGATATCGACAATGTCAGAGCCAAGTTTTCTAGCTTTGGCCATTCTCTCAAAAAGACTGGTGTTGTTTTGCCATTTGTCATGTCAGTTTTCTGCCGCTTTTTGTTTCAAAACAATCATCCATCAAAATCTAAGAAGCATTATTTCTTCCCATCCATTGGTGTAAGTGAGCTAACTGATTTGTACATTACATCTTTTTGTAAAAAAATTTAAAATTATGTCTTTTGTTTCCCCAAACTGATTGTACAATATATCTTTTCTAGGCACAACTTATTCTTGACCCTGATTTTGTTGATCAAGAAAAAGTGAAAAAATCTTTCCTTGGAGCTGCTAGTGCTCGGCCACTACACCTTTGTGACATGGTATTGATTTTTACTATTCTAATTATGTTTATTTTGTTTTGTTGTAATTCATTATTTTTACTGTATGGGTTGTTTCTGTTTTTGTTTTTTTGCAGCTTTTTTTCCCTATACTACATGGTCAGCACTGGTTTGTTCTCGTTGTTGATATAAAAGATAGGATGCTGGTGTTTTTAGATTCATTGCATCAACCAGATGATGAGTTTTTTGAACCAATTCTGCCTTTGCTGGTAATGTGTTTTTCCTGTACTTTTATTTCCATGTTCTTTTTTCCCTTTTTAACAACTATATTGATATGAATGAATTTGCTGGTAATTATTTTTATTGTTATGTATGAATTGCAGTTAAAAAATTTGCAGATTGTGTGGGATAAATATGAACGCACTCCAATGAACTTCAGCACTTTTAAAATTAAGTTCCCACCTGTTCCACGCCAAGAATACAGGTTAGTTTTTAAATCTGTCAATATTTTATTGATATTTGTATGATAAATTATCCCTTGGTAATTGAATTGAAATATATTAGATGCTGCATGTTTATGTCATTTCAAAAAAAAATTCAAACTGATTTTTGAGAAATCAAATTTTTTTTGGCATTTTTGTAGGTTGTATTGTTTTTGGAAGATGATATTTTGATTGGTTTTTGACCACCAAAATCTGCATTTAGTTTAGTGACATAATTTTATAATTATGCCAGTAGATTCTTTGTTGCTCAGATGATATTCAGTTTTTTGTTTGCTCAAATGATATTCAGTTTTTGTTGCTCAGATGTAATAAAAAATTCAAAATAAGTTTAGTTATTGTTTTGTTATGTTTTGTAGTTTTGATTCAGGCATATTCTCAATGAAGTTCATGGAAATTTGGTCTCCAAGAATTATTCTTTCTAATCAATTCACTGGACAAAATATCAACAATATCCGCGTACAGTATGCGAATCAGATGTTTTTTCATCCAAACAACAAGATGTTGCAAACCGAAGTTGAAAATGTTGGTGTCAATTGGTTTGATTCAGTAAGTTTCTTTTTTTCACCACAAATTTTTTTTTGCAAATAATGCTTTATACACTTGTTTTATTTATCAAATTTTGATATGTTTTATATTATTAATTTTCTTTGCAGGCAAGGTTTCCAAGCAATCACCGTGCTATTGATGCTTGAATAGTGTCACACATCAGCATTTTTAGCTTTATGTCTAGTCAAATGTGTATATAGAATATATTTCATCATAAAGTTATAGTTTTCTATTTGACATAGTATATGATATGCATACAGAAACTTATGTAGCACATATAAAACTCATTCAGTCCTATTACATGAACTATAAAAGTCATATATGTATTCTTTTTTTTCTGTCTTCAATGCTTTTGCTTCCTCAGCCTTGTTTTGATTTCTGCTTCTTGTTTGTTCCCTTGTCTTCTGTTGCCTTTCTTTTTCCTGCAATTAAATATTTAGTATTATTTTATCTTTTTTTCATTGTACATGACATTTCTTTAGTTTTCAGCATTACCTTTGGTTGCTGAATTCGCTGTTTGTTTTTCTTCATTGTTATTCCTTTTTGGCCTTGCTTTATTCTGATTTTCTTCTGCATCTTCTTGTTCTTCAATTTTCTTCTTTGAACTTTCTATTATCTTCTCCACTATTCTTCTATACCTTTTTGGTTTTCTCCCCTTTGTATTTGCTGTATCAGGATCTTCTATGTGCTCTTCTTGAACATCTTTTTCTTGCTCTTGTTGCTCTGCATTTGCAATTTCTATACCACTGTCTTGATGTTGTGAGAATTGAGTTTGATCTTCCTGTTGAATCATTAAGTCAATGTTCTTCTCCAACTTGTCAAGTTCATCTACAAGGTAATCATATGTTCTTTTTCTTTTTGATGCTTTTGAAGCTATGTCAGCTCCTTTCCTAGACAGCACATTAAACATTAGGACTGAATTATCTCCATTTTCTTTCTGCATGATGTGCTTTTTTGTTTCTTTCCTTTCCTTCTTTCTCCATCTTTCAATTATGTATTTTTCTGGAATTTTTCTGACATTCAGGTCCAACATTACTTTCAGGACATGTGAGCATAACATTCCATCCTTTGAGAACTTTCCACAGATGCAACTATAGTTTTCATTTGGTAAGTCAACAATGACTATATGCTTCCTTGGTCTATATTCTTTCTGTATGCTGTTTGGTGACACAAACACTTCATAAACTTTACCTTGTTGTAGCACTGATACTTGCAAACTCAATGTTTCCTTTAGTTCTAGTTGGAATTTCTTGAATATTTCAAGGTTGTATAGTTCTGATGCTTGCTCTTCAATGAGATAGTTGAACCACAAGGTCTTTGGCTTCTTTGTTCTTGATTGGAAATCTTTGCTGTACAAAGTGTCAAAGATAGTATCATTTATATTCTCATATTCCTTCATGAAACTCATTACACTATGTTGTGGTCCAACTCCTCTTTTAAATCTGCTGTTTGTCCCCTCACTTAGTGTTGTGCTCTGTATAAAAGGGCAGAAATCATACTTGAAATAGACTGGTACAAACTGAGCTCTATTTTTCCACATTATCTTCAAATAATTCACATTCTGCAAATTGAACTTCTCAATCATTTGAGGCCAGAGTGATTCAAACTCAGCTTCTGTCAGGCAGTTGCTCAAAATGTCATCATATTCATCGTATAGGTTTTTGTTTGATTTCTGAGAAAACATGCTCCCTGTCTTTTCTCTACAGTTTTTCTTAATGTGAAATAGACAATTTCTGTGCTTTGTGTTTTGAAACACTTGAGCTATGGCTGATCTCATTGCATTGTCTTGATCAGTGATTATAGTCTTTGGATGTTTCCCTCCCATAGCTGTTGCAAATGTTTCAAAAACCCATTTGAAAGTTTCTGCTGTTTCATCACCTAGGAATGCACATCCAAATAAACAGGTTGTCCCATGGCCTATAACTCCTACAAATGGTGCAAATGGCATGTTATATCTGTTTGTTCTGTAAGTTGTGTCAAAACTTATGCAGTCACCATATTCCTCATATAGCTGAGTTGATCTCCCGTCAGTCCAAAACATGCTAGTCACTTTGTTGTTTTCATCTAGTTTGAATTTGTAGGATATTCCTGGGTCTTCTATTTCTTTTTTTCTGAGATAAGCCAGCACTTGCTTCATGTCGTTGTTTCTTGTTTCTGAATTTATTGCTGTTCCAACATTACTAACATCCTTCTTGGTGTAGGGTAGTGCTGGCAAGCCACCACGCAGAAATGAGAGGATAACAATCATGCTCCTAGTGGGTATGTTGCACTCCTTCAATGTCCTTATTAGCCTTTTCTCCTTTATTGTCATATTCTTGTGCGATTTCAGAAATTTTGCCTCTCTCCTTGGGCAAAGTGCATGGTTATGCTTCAAATCTAGTGTTGCTATTTGCCATACATCTCCTAGGGCAAACATTTTTTCCACCATCATCATACATTTGCAGCCAGTCTTTTTAAGAACATTAGTTTGCCTTTCTTGTTCTGTTGCTTCTTCTATTTGTTCTTCTTCTTCCACTTCTTCTTCTTCTTCTTCTTCTTCTTCTTGTTCTTCTTCTTCTTGTTCTGCATTTTTGTCCTCTGGTTCATTTTTTCCTTGCAAGTTGCATCTATATGTATACTTTGTAATCTCACCATTTCTCTTTTTACTTGTTGACTTGTAGTGATGAGTTATCACAGTAGAAAAACCAGCTAAATAAGCGTAAAAGTTGAAGAAGCCATGAGCTTCTTTGTCTGTTTTGAATTTCATTCCAAGCTCAGGTATGTGCTTTTTGTCAATTTGTGTATTGCCATCCTCATCATTTCTCAAGAAATTATCAATATCCTCTTCATTTAGTTCTTCTCTGCTGTTAGGTTCTGAATTTGATGTTTCATTGCTTTCTGGCATTGTCTCATGTTGCTCTGTTTGCTGTATTTGAATTTCTTCAACTGTTTCTTGAGCAGTTCCATTCTCCTTGTCCATATGTTGATCTTGTATGCATAGACTAATTTCCTGTCAAAAGTTAAATAGTACTATTATGTAAGCTCTATTATGAATAATGCATGATATCTACTAATTACACTGTCAAGTTTTCAATTTCACCTGTTCATTGTTTGTGTATATTGCTGGTTGTTCATCTCCATTTGTGAAACTGCTTGATTTTCCCTGCATGTTTATTAGTAGCAAAATTAATTTTAACTATTTTTTTTCTATGCTTGTCAATATAACTGTTTATTTTTGAACCATATATATATATACCTGTGATTTGAAATGTGTGTTCTTCAATTCATACAAATCTTCAATTGTTGTCCATTCTGAGATCTGCATTTTTTTCAAACAAATGTTAGTTCACAGCAATGAGTTTTTTATTAATAAGTTTGGAAAAATTTGTTGTTAATATTACCTCATAAGTATTGTGACTGCTGTTGTTGTAAATTTCATCAAATTCCTGGTAGTTCCATTCAATGCTTGGCAGTGCATGATTTGTTCCCAAGTTTGGGGAAAATCTGCTTGTTGTTAAAGATCATTGAGTTCTGCATGATTAAAATAATTAATCATTGTTAGTAATAAACAAAATTAGTACATGTATACTTTTTTATAGGTGCATGATTGTATAATTTTTTTTTCTTTCTATGTCATCAAAATATAGGCAATGCTCCTTTTTTTTTTGCTTACATGATATGCTGTTGGTGTCTGAAACAACCTTGTGAAGTTTTGTTGCCCTTCCTGCAATATTTGTTATTACTGATCCATATTATATGTACTTTAATATAACTAGAAATATTCTTACCTGGGAAGGTTGTAGTGTAACGCGTGGACTATTAATGACATGTTGCATTAGATTCAGTATAGGACATGTTTCCCGGCTGCAATTTTTTCAATGTTAGTATAATAGAAATTAATATGAATTGCATAGATTTTTGTAATGCTTTTATAAAAACCAACCTGTGTCGTTTGTGAGTTGAGCATTGTTAACTCATCATGTAGTGCTTGTGGGCTGTAGGTAACTCTTGGTGTAAACAAACCTGAAAATATTCATAAAATTTTCAGTTTATGCAAGTTTTTTATTTAACAAATCTGAAAATATAGTTAGTTACAGTCCAATTCCACTGAAATTACATATGTAATATTAGATCTGTGCCTATGTAATTTTGAGTTTATGCATTTTGGGAAGACTGATTTTAATCATATATTACACAAATAAATACCTATTAGTTCTTTTTCTTTGATAACTTGTTCAGCTGCTCTGTCCTGCATGTTGCTCAGTTGAGAACACTGAACACTCTCCAAACTTTTTTGTTCCTGCAAAATTTAACAAGTGTACAGGAATATATAGTCTTTTAGAAAAGAAAATCTGAAAATATAGGTAGTTACAGTCCTATTCCACTGAAATTACATATGTAATATTAGTTGTGTGCCTATGTAATTTTGAGTTTATGCATTTTGGGAAAACTGATTTTAATCATATAGCACACAAATAAATACCTATTAGTTCTTTTTCTTTGATGATTTGTTCAGCTGCTCTGTCCTGCATGTTGCTCAGTTGAGAAGACTCTCCAAACTTTTTTGTTCCTGCAAAATTTAACAAGTGTATAGGAAAATATAGTCTTTTTAGAAAAGAAAATCTGAAAACATAGGTAGTTACAGTCCAATTACAGTGAAATTACATATGTAATATTAGATGTGTGCCTATGTAATTTTGAGTTTATGCATTTTGGGAAAACTGATTTTAATCATATATCACACAAATAAATACCTATTAGTTCTTTTTCTTTGATGACTTGTTCAGCTTTTTTGTCCTGCATGTTGCTCAGTTGAGTAGACTCTCCAAATACATTTTTTCCTGCAAAATTTAACAAGTGTATAGGAATATATTGTCTTTTAGAAAAGAAAATCTGAAAATATAGGTAGTTACAGTCCTATTCCACTGAAATTACATATGTAATATTAGTTGTGTGCCTATGTAATTTTGAGTTTATGCATTTTGGGAAGACTGATTTTAATCATATATCACACAAATAAATACCTATTAGTTCTTTTTCTTTGATGACTTGTTTAGCTTTTTTGTCCTACATGTCGCTCAGTTGAGTAGACTCTCCAAATACATTTTTTCCTGCAAAATTTAACAAGTGTATAGGATTATATAGTCTTTTAGAAAAGAAAATCTGAAAATATAGGTAGTTACAGTCCAATTCCACTGAAATTACATATGTAATATTAGATGTGTGCCTATGTAATTTTGAGTTTATGCATTTTGGGAAGATTGATTTTAATCATATATCACACAAATAAATACCTATTAGTTCTTTTTCTTTGATGACTTGTTCTGCTCCTGTGCCCAGCATGTTGCTCAGTTGAGTAGACTCTCCAAATACATTTTTTCCTGCAAAATTTAACAAGTGTATAGGAATCAGATGTAAACTTACATGATCATTGTACTATAGTTACTACTGTTACTTCAGAAATCTGTGTATGTAATTTAATTATGAAATAAAATAAAATAATTAGTTAGCTGGATTTAAAACTTACATGATCTTTGTATATTTGTTGTATGTAATCTGCTATATTATATTTGATTTTAATGTTTCATGCCTAAATGCCTAAATCTAAATCTGAAAACTTACATGACCTTTGTACTAAAGTTACAACTGTAACTTTAGATCTTTCATCATGTAATTTTTATGACTTGTTAATTATTTGGTTCTTTTCCCTTTTTTTTTTGTAGTCCATATAGAGCACTAGTTCAGTGAGAAACAAAACTCTGCATAGTGTAATTTTTGAAAACTTACATGGCAATTGTGCTATTGTTATAACTGTAACTTTAGAAATCTGTGTATGTAATTTGCTATACTTTAGTTTTTATACTGATGTGGATTATATATTGGCTATAGTGTTGCATATTTTTGTATTGGTAGGACCATTAGGACCTCGCCCACGATTCCTAGCTCCTATTACCTGGGAGATTAGGGCTATTTAACTATGTTGCTGTCAGGTGTTTTGCAATGGGCATTGGTTTCTGTCGTCGCGGCGCGGGCAGTAGAGTTCTCTTTGTGAGAAACAAAACTCTGCATAGTACTTAGGTTTTTGTTATGCATTGTTTTTTTTAATAAATTTTGTTATTCAGGGAGAATCTTGAATTTGTATGATCTGTTTTGTTAAGAAGTGGAAGAAAATTTTGTTTGAAGGAGAATGTTGTATAGGAATATACAAGTTCAGGTCATGTACTGTGTTTCATCTTGTCAACTGTATTTTAGTTCTGAGTTGACATGTCCTTATGTCAGATTTGTTGTTAGTTGTTTATTTTTGCAAGTTCCTGCATCTCAATCTAAACTGATTTGGTCTACTGTTTAAACTGATTTGTGTTTTTCATCTCAAGATGTAGTTATTCTCAGAATTTCTACCAAGATTTGAAGGGAATTGACCAGATTTCTTTTCAAGATTCAAAGAAGGTGAACTTCAATCAATTTTGTGTTTGAAGATGCTGTTAGAAATTGAGGTATGCAGTTTACTCACCTTCTTTAAATTTTCTTTGGAGTTGACTTTCAGATTTGGAGCAGATCTTCTTTTTCTTCTTAGCTTCCCCCTTCTCGTTCTCCATCTTTGCGATTTTTTCTGTTCGATCGATGTGGTTTGGTAGAGTCACGTGGTTTCTGAGTTTGTTTCCTTGTGGTGTAAGTTGATCTTTGTTCATGGGGACCACGTGATCATTGTTTGGGCTGAGAAATTATCTATTTGATCTATTTTTTTATTTGGGCTTATGTTTGGATCTATTGTTGTTTGGATGGGTTTTTTAATTTTTTTTTTCTCTACAGATCTGGCCCATTATGTCTGTGAAAAGAAAAAAAAGTCTATTTGTATTTGATTCTGTTGCTCGTTGGATGCTAATCCAATGGCTGAGAAATCTGTGTGATTTGTGGGTCAGAAATTTGTCGTGTGATGGCTAGCCAGACCCCTTAAAATCCCTGAAAAATTAGTTTTGGGAATGAAATAGGAGAATTGGTGATGCTCTAACACCTTACCGCACCATCACTAGGCATGATCTTATCCTCGCCAATCCCCATCTCCCAGTTTTTGGAGAAAAAATGGAGATCACAACTTCCCATGGTGTGGCACTGTCATCGACGACCTGCGTTGTGCTGTCCCTTTCCACCGCCGCATCTCACCTCTCACCAAAACCAACACCACTGTCCCAACTCGACGCCCTCTGGTGTTTGCTGGTTGGCTGCACCGTGGAGGCGGAAGAGGCTGTGCTCTGGAGGCCTACGTGGCCGAGGAGGCTGGCTATGAGCACTGTGGATGCGGAAGAGGCTGTGCCGAGGAGGTTGGCCATGAGCAAAGTGAAAGGAGCAACAGGAACAACAATGACAGGAGACGGTGGGATGAATGAGATCTGGTCCCTGGAGCTTCTAGTGGTTTGGTGGAGATTGATGGGATCCAAGTCATGCAAGTATCGATTGGCTTCTTTTTTTTTTTTTCCTGAATCGTGCTCGATTTGCCTCTTTTGTTCTGAATTGTGCTCGATTTGCTAGTGGCATCAAACTGCAGATATGTCTAATTGCTTTGACTCATCGATCTTGTACTGATTACTTGGCTTTTTTTTTGCAAATCAAACTTCTGGTACAATTAGTTCGGTCTATGACCGAGACCGAACCAAACAGACCTAAGGCCAAAGTGCTTGGTCTTGAGGTTTGTCGAAGTCCAATTGGTCTTAAGACTAAAGACCAAATAACAAAACCAAAATTTTCGGTTATTCCCTAACCGTCATGCCGATACGGTCATCATTAAGTGTGTAATGAACGAATAAATCTGTCATTACCGATAATCATCCGTCTCCATCTCTTAACTAATTAAAACTAATTAAAAGATTCGTGTTTTTCCTTTTATCACCTCATCCGTGCAGTGGTCTTTCGTCCGCCCCCCCCCCCCCCAAAAAAAATCGCCAGTCGGAATTCCATCGCACATCCCCCAATCCAAGTCCCAGTCGGAATTCCATCGCACAAATAAAACTGAAGCATATGAATTGGATACAAGAACACAAGAAGAAAAAGGATACCGGAAGGAGAGGGTGCCACCGTCGCTACCGAACTGCCACCGCCGTCGAGGGGACAACGGTCCGCCGCTGGCTCCCCTCCCGCTGGATCCGACGGAGGGGAGGCCGGGCCGCCATCACCTCCCCTTCCCTCCCGTTACACTGGTGGAGAAATGCTTTTTAGTCCCGGTTCGTAACCCCCCTATAGTTCCGGTTTTTCAACCGGGACTACGAATCCGGGACTAAAGATCGCTATCTTTAGTCCCGGTTCAAATAACCGGGATTAAAAATCGATCTTTAGTCCCGGTTGGTAACAACAACCGGGACTAAAGATATTTTTTCTTTCTTTTCTCTTTTTCATTGTTTTAGTATTGAATATTGATTTCACACCATCCCCTAATCATGTCAAGAAATCCCAAATCCAAATTCTCACATATCACAGAACATCTCTAAATCCTCAAATAGATCATCTCCAAATACATCACAAACTTTTAAAAAATTACATCACAAGTTCTGAAAAATACATCACAGATCCCCACCACACACAAATCAAATACATCACAGGATAAATCGTAAAAAAGAAAAAAAAAGAAAAGCCGGCCGGCCGGCCACTGCCGCCTCCCCTCCTCCCCTTTGCGACGGCCGGTCGCCGCCGCCGCCGCCGCCGCGCGGGCCCCCGCACCGCCACGCCGGCCGCCGCCGAGCGGCCCCTCGCCCGCCGCCACGCGGTCCCCCGCGCCGCCGCACCGGCCGCCGCCGAGCGGCCCCTCGCCCGCCGCCGCGCGGTCCCCCGCGCCGACTCGCAGGCCACCTCCGCGCGGCCTCGCGCCGCTGCCGCCGTGAGGCTCCCCGCGCCTCCGCGCCGGCCGCCGCCGCACCGGCCCCCTGCGCCCCCTCGCCGGCCGCCGTCTGCTTCGCTGTGACTAATGGAAGGAAAAAAAAGAAAGAGAAGGTAGGAGTTAGAGATAAGGAAGAGATAAAGAAGTTGGAGAGGGAGAAAGAGATAGAGGGAGGAGTTTGTTGTGTGGACAGGAAAAGAGGATCGGTAATAGGGATTATATAGTGTGTTTTTTATTTTTATTTTTAGGGACTAAAAATAGGTTTTTAGTCCCGGTTGGTGTTACTAACCGGGACTAAAGATCCTAGTACCCTGATACGGTCTGACATGGAATCAACCGGGACTAAAGATCCCGGTTGGAGTTACCAACCGGGACTAAAGATGATTTTTAGTCCCGGTTGGTAACAACAACCGGTCCTAAAGATCTTTCTCTTATAAACCGGGACTAAAAATCATTTTTAGTCCCGGTTTTTAATAGAACCGGGACTATTATGGATTTGGGTCGACCGACCAAAGATGGTTTCTCTACTAGTGTTAGATCCGAGACATCGGATCTAGGCCGCCGGGCCACCGCCGCCTCCCCTCCCACTGGATCTAGTGGAGGGGAGGGTGCCCCGCAGAAGACGATGGGGAGGGGCGCCGCTTGAAAGACGATGGGGAGGGCCGTTGGGGCAAGGCCGCTCGACGGCGGCGCACTCACCCTGCGACGAGTGCGCACACCGGTGAAGGGCCGAGGAGGCTAGGGTTTTCGCCGGCGCCGGGAGGGAAGGGGTTTTGTCCCTCCGACGTCGGCGCCCAACCGTCTGATCGAAACCCTAAGATCGGACGGCCGGCACTGGCTAGACCGAATTCAACCCAAGTGGAGGCGCGCGTGGGGAGGCTTCCCGGCCTAGGCCCAGGTTGCGGCCCGAGGAGGTGGGGAGCGCCTGCATGTGCGCATAAGAGGCCATGGGCCGACCGGCTAGGGCGGGAAAAAGTCTGATTTAGGTCCCTAAGCAACACTTTTTTGATCACTGTACACACTCCGTAATCACTCGGTGCAACGCACGGACACTTTTGCTAGTAACAATATAATTGTGCGATGACATAGGCCCATCCCACAATAATCTAGCATTCCAACCCATTAGTGTGTTCTTTACTGCTATTGGCTGGCTAGACCTAGACGTTTGCCTTCCCAAAATTCTCACAGCGCAACACTATGAAAGTAACAAGGAATGAAGGAACTGACTTCCTCTTCTTTGCTTCTGATGACGACCATGAGACAAGGATGGTAGGAATACATTTAAATATATTTCTCTCTAAAAGAGGTCAAATTATTATCAACTAACGTATATTTGAAAAATGTTAAATTTCCAACAAATTCCGATTAATTGTCCGCCCATTCGTTATCCATATTTCGTTAGGAAACAAATCCAAATTATCCCTCAAACTATTGTGGCGGTAGGAATTACCCCCATCAATTAAAAAATTAGACATTTTTCGCCCTCAACTTTTCATATCGGTCGAATTACCCCCTGACGATTCCGGAGCGGTTTTGGTCCTACATGGTGCACACGTGACCAGTGAACATAAAAAAGTTAAAAATAATAGGCCCACTTATTCGTTCGGCCTCTTCTCTTGGTTACCATATGTGGGTCCTATATTTTTTATAATTTTTTATACTAACTGGACTGTCACATAGAAACAAAACCGCTCCAAAATCTATCAGGGTAAATCTGTCCCGTATGAAAAATTGAGGGTGAAGAATATTTGGTTTTTTAATTGAGCGGGTAATTCGTACTTCCAGAATAGTGTAGGGGGGTAACTTTTTCCATTTCATTATCCACAACTTGATGTTGCCTTTTATGCACATCAAGTTTTTAAGGGACTTTAACATCCCAGAAATTTAATCCTTGATTAAAGAAATTAGTGTGGATATTATGTTTTGTTCCTCATTGGAGATATTAGCTGTAATTTTGAACCTAAACTTGAACAAATAGTTCACCTGAAATAGAGATGTAACTATTAATGCATATATGAAGCCACCATAGAAGTTTAAGATATTATGAAGCTTTAAAATAAATAAATGGCTAACAAATATATAATTACATGTTTGCAAACCAATAGGGCTATTTGAAAACAGAACAGCCAATAGAATTTTCGTGGGATATATAAAACTAGTAAAACCTGGGAAAACTTTATAAACATACGACTCCCTGTCCCAAACAATATAAAGAACTCCTGAATAAGTTGAGCACAGTAGTGATCAGACAAAAGCCTAGTACTCCGTAGTCGGTACTCAGTAGTCTACAACTGAAAAAGTAATCGTAGTCCACAAGTATTGTAGGAACGGAAACAAGCAGATAAAATGTTGAGAGCACAAGTTTCGATCGAGCTGTACCACTTGACATTCATTTATTCATGAAACGGAAACAAAAACGGCAGCATTGTTTGGTGCAAGAGGATCGATGATGCTATAATCCATATTTCCCGTCCTTGTCCAAAACATTTTCCTGCCAATAAGACATGATGCAAAAGGTTCACTAAGATGGCAGTTAAGATGGGGCAGGAGCTACTACTTGAATACCAGTATGTAGCTGCAAGTTGAACGTCGGGTCGGGGCCATCCTTTTTTTTTTTTTTTTTTTTTTTTTTTGCAGCTGTTTGGTTTGAGGATTAGGTGGGTTTAGTTGGTAAAAAAAAGAATATTCCACTCATATTCGGGTTGAACTGACCACCAAAAAATTGCAAGACTGATCAAACCCACCTCACTACCCCGGCCCTGTAAGGTTGTAATCGAAGTAAACATGATCCAGCTATTCAGCTTCGCATGACTTGCAGATCTCT